ACACCTGGTCCACACACCCCCTACCTTTCCTAAAGCCTCCTGTTCTCTGCTATCCTATTCTCTCGCTTACTCCTAATTCTTTCAATTTAAACTCTACCATACACCTTTACCAGGTACACTCACAGACTTATCCCCTTACTATAATTTTTGCACTCTTCTTTTATCCCCTTGCCTTTAATACAAAGGAACTATGCATGCACTCTGCAATCCCTAGGTACCTAACCCTCTTCCCATACATTTATTAAATATTTGCACCAACCCTCCAAAACTATATCCCCACCTCTTTAACAATTTTCTATCTTTTCCCATCAATCCCGCTGCCTATACCCCTTCCATTTTACCTACTGCCTACGAACTTCCCACTCACTCACAACTGGTTTCTCTTCCTCACTCCTACAAGCATGTTATTCCTCCTGCCCTATACACGCAATCACAGCTTCCCTATCTTCAAAACACTTAACAATTCCTCAAAAATACCTTCCCATCATCCAATACCTCTAAACTCTCCCATTAATAACTCTCCTCTCCTATTTTTAACTGACAAATCCATTGTTCACCTAGTTTTCTTACTTGTAATCTCACTCCAAAACTTTTTTCTTATTTTCAACAAAATTTGTTGATAACATTCCACCCACTCTCCACATTTGCTCCACTTTTACATTGCATCACCACTCTCTTTAACTTCTCTCCTATTTCTCCATATACTCTTCCCCTCCCTTGCATCACTTCTCTTTGTAAAAACTTCTCATATGCTAACTTTTTTCTCCCTTACTACTCTCTTTACATCATCAATCCACCAATCGCTCCTCTTCCCTCCTGCACCCACTTTCCGTAACCACAAACTTCTGCTGAACACTCTAACACTACATTTTTAAACCTACCCCATACCTCTTCGACCCCATTGCTATGCTCTCATTAGCCCATCTATCCTCCAATAGCGTTTATAACTTACCCTAACTGCCTCCTCTTTAAGTTTATAAACCTTCACCTCTCTCTTCCTGAATGCTTCTATTTCTCCTTGTATCCCATCTACCTTTTACTCCTCTGAAGGCTACAACTAGAAAGGTGATCTGATATAGCTGTGGCCCCTCTAATAAACATGTCATCCTGAGTCTACTCAAACAGTCTTTATCTACCAATACATAATCCAACAAACTACAGTCATTTCGCCCTACATCATATCGTGTATACTTATTTTATCCTCTTTTCTTAAAATATGTATCAACCTTAACAAAACCCCATTCTATACAAAGTTCAATCAAGGGCTCCCATTACATTTACACCTGGCACCCCAACTTAACCTACACACCCTCTCAAAAAGTTTCTCCTACTTTAGCATTCAATTCCCTACCACAATTACCATCACTTGGTTCAAAGGGCTCCTATACATTCACTATTAACAATCTCCCAAATCTCTCTCTCTCTCACTCATTCCTCTCTTCTCCCAGTGCAACACGCTTATTAAGAACCCCTACTCGCAACCAACTTTACTTTTAATCCACATAATTCTTTGAATATTACAGAATTATTAACTCCTGCACACACTCAACCGATCGTCAGGTCCAAGTATCATTCGACTCCATTCACTCCCTAAAAGGGACTATACATGCTCATCTGCAATTCCCTAGGTACCTCCCTCTTTCATACATTTCTGTCATGATCCCATCATTCCAAGCTGCTTTACCCCTTTTCATTCACGTAATGCCTCGCGTACCACCCCCCCCCCCCCCCCCCCACCCCCCCTCCACCACACTTACATTCTGCTCTTCTTCACCCTAAAAGATGGTATACCTCCCTGCCAGTGCATGAAAATTACTGCCTCCCCTTTCTTCCTCAACATTTAAAGTACCTCAAAAAAAGTCTCGCCATCTACCTAATACTCCTCTCCCCATCTACTAACTCCCCTACTCCTGTTTTAACTGACAAATCATACATTCCTAGGCTTCATAAATATAATTATCTAAAACAAACAAATACACTTATCTTAGCATTTCTGTTTGATTCTAAATAAATTAGATACACATCAAGGAAAGTTGGAGGGAGGGGGTAAAGGAGGTTTGGTGTGCGAGGGTGGCTTGGACTTCCAGCAGGCATGCGTGACGTGATTAATGGTAGTGAATTGAGACAAATGGTTTTTGTAATACATGAACGTTCTGTTGGACTGTGAGCAAAGAAACATATAAGTGTCAGGAAACCGGCAGCCGACTTGAGTCCTGGAGATGGAAGTACAGTGCCTGCAATCTGAAGGAGGCTGTATAATATGCAGTTTAAAAACTGTATTTAAAAGCACCTTCTGGCAAGACAGTGGATGGAGTGAATGATGGTGAAAGTTTTTCTTTTTCGGGCCACCCTGCCTTGGTGGGAATCGGCCAGTGTGATAATAAAAAAAAAAATAACATCTATTTAGGTTTAATTGTACATATATATGAAGCATGTATGTGAACAGTATTTAGATAAAGGTAGGGAAGTTTTCATTGCATTTATGGATTTAGAAAAGGCATATGATAGTGGATAGGGGAGCAATGTGGCAGATGTTGTAAGTGTATGGCATAGGAAGTAAGCTAATAAATGCTGTAAAGAGTTTTTATTAGGATAGTGCGACTCAGGTTAGGGTGTCTAGGAGAGAGGGAGATTACTTCCTGGTAAAAGTAGGTCTTAGACAGGGATGTGGAATATCACCATGGTTGTTTAATATATTTATAGATGGGGTTGTAAAAAGTAAATGCTAGGGTGTTGGGGAGAGGGGTGGGATTAAATTATGGGGAATCAAATACAAAATGGGAGCTGACATTTACTTTTTGCTGATGATACTGTGCTTATGGGAAATTCTAAAGAAAAGATGTAAAGGTTAGTGGACGAGTTTCAGAGGGTGTGTAAAGGTAGAAAGTTGAAAGTGAACATAGATAAGAGTAAGGTGATGAAGGTATCAAATGATTTAGATAAAGAAAAATTGGATATCAGATTGGAGAGAGGGAATATGGAAGAAGTGAATATTTTCAGATATTTGGGAGTTGACTTGTCAGTGGATGGGTGTATGAAAGATGAGGTTAACCGTAGAATTGATGAAGGAAAAAAGGTGAGTGGTGCATTGAGGTATCTGAGGATACAAGAAAAACGTTACCCATGGAGGCAAAGAAGGGTATGTACAAAAGTACAGTGGACCCTCAACATTCGATACTAATCCATTCCTGAGAGTTATCGAATGTCGAAAATATTGAAAGTTGAATTAATTTTCCCCATAAGAAATAATGGAAATCAAATTAATCCGTGCAGGACACCCAAAAGTATGAAAAAAAAAAATTTACCACATGAAATATTAAGTTTAATGCAATAGAATAATTACAATTACAATAACAATAACAATAACAATAGAATAATTGACACTTAACTTTAATGAAGATCTAGTGATGATTGATGAGATGGGAGGAGGGGAGAGTGTCGAAGTTGTTACTGTTTAGAAGGGGAATCCCCTTCCATTAGGACTTGAGGTAGCAAGTCCTTTTCCGGGGTTACTTCCCTTATTCTTTTAATGCCGCTAGGACCAGCTTGAGAGTCACTGGACCTCTGTCGCCGTTCCTTTAAGATTTGTCTAAAATGGGCCAAAACATTGTCATTGTAATAGTCACCAGCACGGCTTGGAATAGCTGTGTTAGGGTGATTTTCATCCATAAAGGTTTGCAGTTCAACCCAATTTGCACACATTTCCTTAATTTTTTAAGTAGGCACAATGGAGTCCACAACTGGCATAGGCTTCTCAGGGTTAACCCCAAACCCTTCAAAATCTTTCTTAATTTCCATACTAATTCTCACCCTTTTTACCACAGGGTTGGCACTAGAAGCTTTCTTGGGGCCCATGGTGACGTATTTTGCAGAAACAAGCACCAAAAACAGTGATAATATGGATAATATGGGATGTACCGAATGTATCCTTAGATGCGCGCACACTGGCTGACTTGTAAACACTGGCACACACGGGGCAGTTCAGGCCACACGTCTCGTACGAATCGTATCGAATGTCGGGTTTTCCATCGAATGTCGAGGCAAAATTTTTGCGTTAAAATGCATCGAATGTTGGATTTATCGAATGTTGGGGGTCCACTGTATAGTGGTATCAGCACCCTTATATGGCTGTGAAGCTTGGGTTGTAAATGCTGCAGCGAGGAGGCGGCTGGAGGCAGTGGAGATGTCGTGTCTAAGGGCAATGTGTGGTGTAAAAGTTATGCAGAGAATTCAGTGTGGAAATTAGGAGGTGTGGAGTTACTAAAAGCATTAGTCAGAGGGCTGAAGAGGGGTTGTTGAGGGGGCTTGGTCATTTAGAGAGAATGGATGAAAGCAGAATGACTTGGAGATCGTTCAAATCTGTAGGGGAAAGTAGGAGGGGTAGGGGTCATTCTCGAAAAGGTTGGAAGGAGGGGGTAAAGGAGGTTTTGCGGGCGAGGGGCTTGGACTTCCAACAAGCGTGTTAGATGTTAGTAAATGGAGACGAATGGTTTTTGGGACCTGACGAGCTGTTGGAGTGTGAGCAGGGTAATATTTAGTGAAGGGATTCAGGGAAACCAGTTATTATAGATTTAGCCGGGCTCGAGTCCTGGAAATGGAAAGTACAATGCCTGCACTTTAAAGGAGGGGTCTGGGATATTGACAGCTTGGAGGGACTTCTAATGTCGTATCCGAGTGCTTCTGCAAAGACAGTGATTATGTATGAATGAAGTGAAAGTGTTGAATGATGATGAAAGTATTATCTTTTTGGGTATTTTCTTTTCTTTTTGGGTCACCCTGCCTCGGTGGGAGACGACCGACTTGTTTAAAAAAAAAAATTATTTATTTTTATGTCTACAACAGATATTTCACACTAGAGTATGGTGATCCAAATCAAGCTAAACATTCACCATCACTAAATCAATAGCAGTCTTACTTGAAGTAAGCAGACATTACAACATTCTCACCCAGACCATCTACTGTCTGTACTGTATTTTTTATGTAAATATTATTTTGTACAGGCTCCAACAACTGCTATTTGGGAGAACATTGATGAAGACAACCAGATGGTCATCTTGGCTTTAGTACTAGCTCTATCAGGAATCTTTCTCATCATCTCACGCATCATAAACCGAGCAAAGCCAACTCTCCAACGTCGGTCCAAGAAAATACTCGTTGAGAAGCGGGAATATGTCAATAGCTTTGTGAAAGTTCAGAAGGTGAGCATAGTATTTTTTTTTTTTAACCTGTGAAATCTGGTACAGTATTGAATCCTTAAATGATTATATATATATGTTGTATTTATGCATTTCTTTTAATACGTTGGCTGTCTTCCACTGAAGCAGGGTGACCCAAAAAAGGAAGTAACACTTTCATCATCATTCAACACTTTTAACCGTCATTCACACATAATCATTGTCTTTGCAGAGGCACTCAGATGTCATTCCAAACAGCAAATATTCCAAACCCCCTCCTTTAAAGTGCAGGCATTATACTTCCCACCTCCTAGACTCAAATCTGGCTAACCGGTTTCCCTGAATCTCTTCGCAAAATATTACCTTGCTCACACTCCAACCCATCGAGTCCCAAAAGCCTTTTGTCTCCATTCACTCCTATTTAATACACTCACATATGCCTGCTGTTATGTCCAAGCCCCTTGCACACAAAACCTCTTTTACCCCCTCCCTCCATCCTTTCCTAGGATGACCCCTACCCTCCTCACCTCCACTACAGATTTATACATCCTCCAAGTCATCCTGTTTTGCTCCATCCTCTCTAAATGACCAAACCACATTAACAACCCCTCCTCAGCCCTCTCAGTAAGTCCACACCTCCTAATTTCTACACTATGAATTCTCTGCAATATATTTATACCATACATTGCCCTTAGACATGACAGTGAAATTCCAGGCACTAAGATTTCTCGTTATCGGGGAATTCCTTGATGATAATGTGAGAAATCACAAAAGCACTTGGAATTTCACTATTTTTTCACATTGGTTATTTTGCATATTGTGATATCACCTGTGTTAGATTGGAGTAGAGACAAGTAGTTTTTAATGCTTGATTTACTGTTGAAGTGTGAGCAAGGCAACATTTATGAAGAGATTTAAGGAAATCCATTAGCCAGACTCAAATCTTGGAGATGGGAGAGCAGTGCATGCACTTTGAAGGAGGAATGGGGATGTTCTAGTTGGAGATTTATCTAAATTGTGGTATTGGCATTCTTTCTGCAAGGCAGTGATTGAGTGAATGATGGTGAATGAGTTTCTTCTTTTTTTTTTTTGTTCCCTTTATCTTGGTGGGAGATGGTCAGTGATTAAAAAACTGCATGTACATGGTATATTGATATATTTTCTATTTTTCTCCCACAGCAAAAGCTTTATTCTGAATACCTGCAGCAAAGTGTGTCCGATCATGATTTGTAAGTCAGTTGTTAAAGACCTAACTAGCGCATTAATATCAAGAAAGAAAACAGCAGGTTTTCTAGTACAAAGTAAAATATATTCACTCAGTGCCTAAGCATTTTCCTACTACAATACAGATAAAACAGTATTTTTGTAAAGCCAGTGAATAAATGATTTTATACAATGTACAGCAGCTTTAATATTGTAAAACATTAGTGTAGATATCTGTGAATCATGTTCTTCATCTCTTTATTTTGAAGATGTGAAAACATTAACACCAAATGGGCATTAAACCTAGAGCTCTTCAAAATCATGGCACCTGGGATTGCAGGACCTACCACTCACCTCTTATTTCAGGACATCTGATCTGAACTCAGGATTAAATTTTTTTTTTTGTCTTGTAACTTTTACAAATCCAAACAAAATACACACACAGATGTTAGGTTACACCATATATTATAGTCTGTGTTGTTATATGTTAAATTCATTATCTAAACTGTTACACTTCAACTGTACAGCTTTAATAAATGTTTTACTCCTATGGGCTTTTCCAAAGAAAGGAACAAAACATAGTTAATCCATCCTTACAAATCTTATGTAGCTTTTTTGGAAAATATTTATTTTAGGATATCGAATGTCCTCATTAAATCCTGTACTTCAAGTATGGTAGAGTTTAAGCAATCCAGGAGCTTTGAATAACCCATACAGGTTTGGTGCTATTTGCAGATATGTAAAATACTGGGAGCCATGGATTCAAAGCCAACTTGGTGCTAGCTAGCATTTTCGTTCATTTTCGTATGCTGTGTAATATAGATAACTGCATTTTAGTGTTTAATATAGTTTCTGTATGCTGGAATGTTTATTCCTATGAGTACAGTATTGTGTAATTCTAGGCACTTGTTACTAAAACTGTTCACAGTATATTTATTTTCTTAGCCAAAGAAACATGCACTGATGGCTGCTTGTGTTGATAGTACCAATACACGCTAACAACACGTATTGAATAAGCTTTAAGTTTGCAGCTGTTATGGTGATGAAAGTCTTGCATAATTAATCATATATATAATGGAATTATTGGTTACAAGAAAGGCAATTCAAAATAAAAACTGTAATGTTCGCTTGAGATATTTCGTGTATTTACCGAACACTGAGAGTAGCCACTTCAGTATTCCAAATGGAAGAGTGATGGGGTTCGAACTTGATGTCTGGCAGTCGTCCTAGAATTATCAGTCTGGTGTCTTCGCCAGCTGCACTACACAGTGAAAGAATTTTCTGAAACCAGATTTATCGAGAACGATTGGGATGGCCTCCAACGTAGGTTTGAACCCTGTCACTCCATTTGAGCTATTTCAATACATTTAGTACACTAGTTGATTTATAACTGTTATTGTAGTTAATAATGTTTTAAATAATAAAAATTATTTATAATTTTTTTTCTTTATTTTATGCTGTACCTCATCAACTAGAATAAAAGTTAAAAGATTTGCAGATAAAGGTTCAAGACTGTGGCAAGTTGCCATGGCACCTTGCCTTCCTTATGTAAGCCACAACATTTTAACCACTACACATCTAGTTTCAACTGCCTCTGCAAAAACCCCAAACTTTTAACTAAAATGTAAATGTACTGTACAGAAAAAATACATGGAGTTGGGGTATGCATTACATTGGTAACTGCCTTTTTACTTACAAGTAATAATAATAATCAAATTCAGCAATAAACCCAAAGGGATCATATAATGCTGCAGGTAGGGATGTGTGAGAGGATTAACCCTTTCACTGTGTTAGGAAGAAATACATCACTGAGGCCAGGGGTCCCTGATATTGTTCTACGTCATAAGCTCGCTCCCTAAAATAAGCTGTGAGCAGTAAATTTTGGCCTACATATGAAAGAATAGGTCTGTGTAGTGAGTGTGCACATTATTATTATTATAATCCTGCCCCATGCATTGCATGATGGGGGGAAAACAAAACTGTGTTTGGTATATAATAATGAATTTGAGTATTCTAGGATGGTCTTCATAGTTTTATTGGCTGTTGCTTGGTATCATTTGATAGAATGGAAGACAACTACTACTGATTTTGATGGGTTTCAGGACGGGAAGTAGCTCATAGCGGACATTTTATTTTTTGCCAATTTGCTTGTGGACAGGTAATGCTTTACCCCTACACCCACCAGACTGTTTTATGGGTTTTTAAAATAATCTGATTCAATTACTGGGATGCTGTAAACCATGAACAATCATTCCTGGTTATATTTTATTATCCAGTAAACTGAGTAACTATTTTTATGTGATTATGAATTCAAAATGGAAGGCAAGTGTAATATAGGAGAGTCCTGGGAACATTATTATTATTATAATCAAAAAGAAGCGCTAAGCCACAAGGGCTATACAGCGCTGCAGGGTAGGGAAGGAAGCGAGGGTATTGGATGGCAGAAGGGAGGAGGGATGATCAGTAGGTTACAGAAAACAGCGGGGCAGGGGATAGTACGGGGGTAGAGGGTAGCAAGAGATTGAAGGTATCAGAATTTGTAAAGTAAGTCAGTTGTTGTCAAAAAGTCAATGAGAGAGTCCGGATGAAAGGTGGGTCCATCAGCGAGAAGGGAAGGTAAAGAGAGAGCAGTGGAGCGAAGACGATGATGGAGGTAAATTCTGCGTGCTCGTTGATAAAGTGGGCAGTCCAACAGAATGTGGCTGACTGATAATGGAACTTGGCAATTCTCACAGAGAGGAGCAGGGCGCCTCTCCATGAGATATCCATGAGTAAGACGAGTATGGCCAATGCGAAGACGGGAGAGAGTAGTCTCCCAACCTCGACACTGGTGATAAGAAGACGGCCAGTAACCTATACTCGGTTTAATAGATTGAAGTTTGTTGCCGAGCATAGTAGACCAACGTTGTTGCCAACGGGTGTGAAGGTGGGAAGATATTGCAGCAAAATAGTCCGTAAATGGAATACCTCTACATGAAACTGGTAGGTCATGTACTGCTGACCGCGCAGCAGTGTCTGCCTGTTCATTGCCCTGTACGTCAACATGACCAGGGACCCAACAAAAAACAATATCTTTATGCTTGGTAAAGATGCGGCGTAGCCAAAGTTGGATACGGAGGACTAAGGGGTGAGGTGTATCAAATTTCTGTATAGCCTGTAAAGCACTAAGGGAGTCTGAAACAACCACAAATGATGACACAGGCATAGATGCAATACGGATAAGTGCTCTAAAGATGGCATACAATTCAGCAGTAAAAATACTAGCCGAAGATAGTAAATGCCCTTGTACGACGCTGTCCGGAAACACTGCTGCGAATCCTACGCCGTCAGAAGACTTAGAGCCATCTGTGTACACAGCAATGGCATGAGAATGAGAGTGAAAGTGGTCAAGAAAAGGAGAGTGGGAAGCGACCGTAGACAGTTGGGCTTTCGAGCAAGGGAGAGAGAAAGAACAGACTCGAACAGCTGGAACTTCCCAGGGGGGTAGGGAAAAGTGAGATGCTACATGTACATAGAAAGGTGGTAATTGAAGAGGAGACAAGAGCGAATGAAGGCGAAGAGAGAAGGGACGGAGTAAACAGGGGCGGCGAACAAATAAAGAATGTCTACTAATATCAGTGACCATTCTATAAATGGAAGGATTGCGGAGATCATGAGAGCGTACATAGTAGCGAAGGCAATGGGCATCACGGCAATCGGATATGGATGGAACGTTCGCTTCTGCATAGAGGCTCTCGACAAGGGAAGAGCGAAAAGTACCAAGGCATAAACGTAATCCTTGGTGATGAATGGGGTTAAGGCTAGAGAGAGTAGCAGGAGATGCCGCTGAATAGATCTGGTCACCATAATCAAGCTTCGATAAAATAAGGGTGGAATGTAGGTGAAGGAGGGTTCGACGATCAGCTCCCCATGAAAGATGAGCAAGGGTTTTAAGAAGGTTCAGCCGGCTGTGACAAGTTGCCTTCAGAGAGGTAAGTGAGGTTTCCAGGATAACCTACGATCAAAGAGGAGGCCCAGAAACTTGACTGTATCACGTTCAGGGATACGGGAGCCATAGAGGTACAAAGGATGATCGGAGATGACAGAGCATCTAGTGAAAGTAATTTGCTGGGTTTTAGTGCTGGAAAATTTAAACCCACATGTGGTGGCCCAATTGGAAACACGGTCGACTGCATGCTGGAGAGAAACTGTAATAAGGTGACAGTCAGCGCCTCCACAGGCAATAGCGAAGTCATCAACATAGAGTGATGACCAAATATTTGATGGAAGACTAAAGGCCAAATCATTAATAGCAAGGAGAAAAAGTGTTGTGCTCAGAACACATCCCTGGGGGACACCTTCAGCTTGGATCAAGTCCGGGGAGAGCACATTATTAACCCGAACACAGAAATGCCTGTCAGTTAAAAAGTTCTTAAGGAAGGATGGTAGATTGCCTCGAAGGCCTAAGGAGTGGGCTTGGGCTAAAATATTATACCTCCAAGTTGTCATATGCCTTCTTAAGGTCAAAAAAATATGGAAATAACTGAGTGGTTATTTGCAAAGGCATTACGAACATACGTATCCAAGTGTAGTAAGGGGTCTATGGTAGAACGTCCCTTACGAAAGCCATATTGAAGAGTGGAGAGACTGTTGTGTGTGTCTACCTCTTCAAGGGGGCTCCTTGGCGTGGTGAAGAGGCTCTTGGTCTGAGGAATTAGCCCTGTCGGTCTTCTTCCTCAGACCAAACCTAATTACCCCCCATTCTCCCCTCCCCTATCCCATCCTCCCCTTTTTCCATTCCTCCTCCTCCTCCTCACCCCTCCCTTTTGCCCTTCCTCTTTTTGGCCTTTGGGATTTCTCCCACAGGCGCGCTAGTTCCTAGGTAGGGGAAAGGATACCGGGGTCCATCCCATTCCGTTGAGGTTCTTGGCGGTGGCGTAGTTTGCCGTGGAATCTGGATTGCCTGGGGATGTCCCGATCCCTCTCCGGTATCCCGGAGTAGCTTTGGGTGTCTTTCGGGCGGCGGGTGTATCTCTGGAAGCCACCTTTCGGATTCCGGGGGTGGTGGCCGAAGGAGGTATACTTTGTGGCAGATATCCGGCCGCCCTCTCTGTTGTCCACCGAGGTAGCTCGGCAGATGTGAGGTTGCTATCCCGGATTGCTGGTTTACTGGCATGAAGGGTAGGGTATGGCACGGGTTCCATGCTGCATCTGCGCTACTAGCGGTGCTGAGGTCCTCTTGGGCGTGGAGGGAGATTTCCGGCCCTTCCATTCCTCCTGGGAACTATTCCTCCCCGCTCCCCCCCTTTCTTTTCTTTTTTTTATTTTTATTTTTTCTTTTTTTTTTCTTAAAAACAAAAAGCAAAGGAGTAACCTAACCATGGCAGCCCTAGTCCATGAACCCACTACCCCCGGGCCCCTTCTTGATACCGCACCCCATTCTGACCCTGCCTTGTGTTTAGACCACTCTTCGGACACTCCTGATGCCCCTGTACCTCTTGCTGGTGCTGTTTCCTCACCCGCTTCAGGTACCGGGGCTTCGACTGACTCCTTCGATTTGTCTGAACTCCGCTCTCCTTTGACTATGCTTCCGGCTTCTCCCTCTACGGTACGGCACCTCTTCAATCTTATTTGGGCACAAGGAGTTCTTCCCCAGCTGTGGAAATCTGCCATTGTTCTCCCTTTCCGCAAACCGGGTACTACAGGACATGATGCCTCCCACTATCGCCCTATCGCTCTTACCAGTGCAGTTTGCAAAGTGATGGAACGTCTCGTACATCGACGTTTAATGTGGTATTTAGAGACACACAACAGTCTCTCCGCTAGTCAATATGGCTTTCGTAAGGGTCGTTCTACCATAGACCCCTTACTATGCTTGGATACGTATGTTCGTAATGCCTTTGCAAATAATCACTCAGTTATTGCCATATTTTTTGACCTTGAGAAGGCATATGACACAACTTGGAGGTATAATATTTTGGCCCAGGCGCATTCCTTAGGCCTCCGAGGCAATCTACCATCCTTCCTTAAGAACTTTTTAACTGACAGACATTTCCGTGTTCGAGTCAATAATGTTCTTTCCCCGGACTTCGTCCAAGCTGAAGGTGTCCCTCAGGGATGTGTTCTAAGCACAACACTTTTTCTCCTTGCTATAAATGATTTGGCCTCTGTTCTTCCACCCAATATTTGGTCATCACTTTATGTTGATGACTTCGCTATTGCTTGTGCAGGCGCTGACTGTCACCTTATTGCAGTTTCTCTCCAGCATGCGGTCGACCGTGTTTCCACTTGGGGCCCCCACGCATGGGTTTAAATTTTCAAGTACCAAAACTCACCAAATTACTTTCACTAGACGCTCTGTTATCTCCGATCATCCTTTGTATCTCTATGTCTCCCATATCCCCACACGTGATACAGTCAGGTTTCTAGGCCTTCTCTTTGACCGTCGGTTATCCTGGAAACC